GCCGTTTATCATAATGATGTAAAGCCGTTATCACGTCTCGAGAAGGAGAGTAAATACTCTAGTAAACTCTTACCTACCGGAGATCTGCCTAAACCAAGAAATAGTTATGAATTGGATTCGGCTGCAGGTATGAAAATTACAATTGCAAAATTGGTTATAAATAAAGTCAACTTACAATATTAACATTGTCCCATTGCTTATGTTTTAGTGACTCAAACACTCTTTGAATAAACTTGTAATGCATAGTTTATTCAACGGCAACCAAGTTTATTTTCCGTGTAATATATCTACGCACATGTACCGTCTCGAAGTAATTGGATGGTCTCTATCTGCAGCGATACACGTAGGGTTGTCTTTAACAAATAATTTTACTTATGCCAACATGAGCAAATTCCAGCTTTCTGTAAGTAAATTCGCAATATTCTCATCCGTAATGGTCATTGCCTCGCAAAGTATTGGATGTAAAAGAATAAGTTACAAACGTCGTCACCTGTTACTATTCCATTTACTAGAATCTTCTTGTTATAAAAGACACTTGATAATTATTTATTTCAGTACAGTAAAATGATATTTGGTTAACCAGTTGTTGTCTGTTTAGTTAGTACTGTTGACCAATTGACATGAGCGATGAAAATTACGCACGCGTTGTCTGGATGCTATCCGTCGCATTAAGGCAATGCGCTGAGACAGAGATTTTTTGTACAAGACCCCAGTTTTCAGATTCGTACCTTTATTAAACATATTTTTTATGGTGGACTGCCTTTTAGGAATAGACAAACTCAGTGTGCGATATTATGCTGAATGACTGTAAGAATCCGTTGTATTGCATGCTGAACTCTGAACAAGCGCAACAGTGTCCATCTACTACAACGATGTAAAATTCTTATCACATCCAAAAGTGGGAATGAAGATTTTGGCAAGCTCTTATTTCCTAGAGATCTGCCCGATCATAAATGCTTTCCGACTTGTCGATATCATTTGATCATCGTATTCTTTTTAGAGGCAAAAAGGTAGCTGACGTCCAAATTTTGTCAGGGCAGTCGCCATAAAATAGATGACACAGACTACTGCCGTTTGCGCATTACAAGTTGGAATCTAGTACGTAATTAGGCATTGGCATCTTTTCCCCTAATCTCTGAATCATATGGTCGCAGACTCATGTGTGGTTTGCTTTATGGCACCGAATAGGTGTGACCGAAATAAACATGCTCACGAAATAGTTACAGTGTTCTGAAATGATACATTGTCGATGTTCGAAAATTTGCTGTCACTATTAGTTGCCGTCGAATACCGCAGTTATTGTCTAGCATATAATATAGAGTAGTTGAAGAAGTAACAAGTGTGAAATTAAATTATCTCCTATCAAGTATCTATAGTCCCTGCCCCGTAAAGGTGGACATGGGGTTGGAAATGTAATGCTCGGAGAGACCAATTAGCTATTGATCAACTTGATCGTGTTCTGACGATATCTTTAATTTTTGTATTAGTTTGATTATCTAGCAAATACACATACTAAATATTAATCGGTAATTATAAACAAACCTCTTGTCTATCCATTTGTATTGACAAATAACTTTATACACTTCCTATAGCCATGCCATAATTTATCTTTTGTCCACTCTCGACACAAAACTTGAATTCCCGTGGTGCCTCAAATACTAATACTATCGTAGAGCCGAAACAAAACCCTCCTATCTCGTCACCTTTTCTAAGCAGTAACCCTTTTAGAAGTTTGCTTGCGTTCTCATATGATACTTCAACGTATGTGCCGATATTTACGTCCTCCTTGCTATTTGTACGTAATGCCTATCAAACGAGAATTGACATCAATACGGGAAGAAAAAGTATGTACACTCGATAGAGATGACCAAGGGGAATGATTATCTTACCGGGTCAAAGTTTATTTTTATTGAGCCAACGTTAGTTGCGCCGACTGCAACCATTGAGAAAAATCCATATCGCCAACGGCCTAATAATGCGACGCGTTCATTTAACACAAAGAGGTCGGGAAGAATTCTTGCCATGTATGGGGAAACAGAATACAATTCTCCTATAAAAAATAAAAATGAATGAGATTTCCCATAGCAGTAAAATGAAAATGATATCGACCAAACTTCATACCAGCAAAGTGTCTTCTTTTTTCAACAACCCAATTGTTCGGTGAATGAAACCGATGATAATCTCCGGGCGCCAAGTAAAGAACACAGAAGAATAAACCATTCGTCTTGGGAGATTTCGTCGTTATTGCGGGTACAAGTTCACTCTTTTTCTCGGCAACATGCTTCTTGGCGCTATCCTTATCTTCCCCAATAAGAGCCTCCAAGGAATAAGTTATTCCATTTAATGAAGCAAATTCCTTCTCGTCAGTTATTGTTATTGGCGGCGGAAATGATGAGAGAACCTCTGATGGACTAGTAGGAGAAGAACTGTTCCCGATAAGTGCGTCAAGTAAATATGTCGAGCCCTTTACTTGAGATATACGACCATCTATTATGTGTCCGAATGCTAATACTCTTCCATCAGATGGGGACACCTGGTAGAATAATATAAACTTTGTAAGCGAATAACCAATATCGGTGTTGACGTTCCCAAATCTTCTTACCAAGATACTCTTCTCATCAATAGTTCGTACGCCAGGTTTCAGTTCTCGATAGAAAAAAGCACCAAGATTACGATAACTCTTTAAATCATCCTTAACCTCGTCCATATTACATCCAAATATCCATGCATACAGCTTATAGACAGGTTTTCTCATGAAAACGGGAAGATCGTAGTCATTGTTTAGTCGGCCCAATAAACGTGATATCGCCCGTAACGGAAGAGCGTTTGCTACGTGTACCTACAAAACGGTGTACGCAGTTATGAAAATGTGCCGTAGGAATGGATATAGGTAAAAAAAATTATAACCTTCCACACAATAATGTAAAACTATAGACGTAGCCTACAAGTTCTCCAAACAAGTCAACGTATCAGTAAATACCTGCCATGCCCCACGTACAACCGGTTGCGGAGGATCACTTTCTAATTGTTGTCGGTTGTAAGCGTGTCGTGCTTGCTGCACGACAAGTAATGCAACACCAAGGCTCACGGGTATTGGGTACCATTTGATTTCCGTTTTTCTCAGTGAATCTCGCAGTCGAGCTTATGAATGTGAAAAATAGTGTTTTATCAGCATTCCAATGAATCAAAAAGGCTGACAGAGTCACTAATATGAGTATCTGTTCCAATACGCACTGAAAAACGGTCTCGGCTTTTCCTTTTTGGACCCGCTGTGAAAAGGTCGATTTGTAATGAGGGGACGCGCGCGAGCTATAGCGTAGATTCCGTTGAAAGCTTTCGCATTTTTATGAGTTGCTGTATAAGTAATATTATTATAGACGGAATATCGCATCATTAACGATCTGTTTCGAAAAGTGTTACCACGTGTTATTAATCAATCTAAGATGTTACCAAAATAGTCAGTGTCTTTACTTTAAACCGAAGGGTGAGCAAATTCAGCTTGCTTAGTAAGTTGATAACGGTGTGTCATGCTATATATAAGTTTCCCCGAAAGTCCGTCTCCCCCGTAATACTTTCGCTTACAAAACTGTCAGGTGTTTGAAATCGTGACTATGACGATAGAAAATTCCGCTCCCGATAAATTACAATAATCCCTGTTATCCTTAAATTTCATTGATAATTGTGTAACATTTGAATGGGTTAAACATTTTGATTGGTTTGTTGGTCCTTCAATAATTACGTGGAAGCGACAACTATGTGCTTTCCAAAGAGGAAAATGAAATTGAAAAGCTAGCTATTTATCCTACTGTAGTGTCCATGTCCGCTTAGACAGCCTACAGGTATTATTTGTAATTTGTTGGCTCACTACTCTATCTCGAAAAACGTCCCTTTGATAGTTTTGTTCATAGTTGTTAGTTTATTATCCGCGTTTTTTCAAATACTCCTGAATTTGTTTATTTATTTTTTTTATTTTTTTTTTCTTTCAACTATCAAGCTTGAAATTTCGTTGAACAACCCGATAAATCGATATTTTGCATATGTTTTGGTAAGAAGGACAAATTCCGATGTTAATATACTGATAACCCCACTTCAATGATAAATTTTCAGCGGAATAAAAGTATCAATGTAAGGTGGGCTGTTCCCAAATTATACAAATTTTCCACGTAACAGGGTTAACTGCATATCTTATCTAATCTGTCAGGGAGATTATTTTTGGAAGTTTAGCATCTTTGAGCTCACAACCAATGAAAAACGCGTCTGCTGGTTGATGTATTCTACTCAAAATCATGTCATACTAATACTTGCAGATTTTGAAATGGCAAAGGCAAAGTTTGCTATCTCAGGCCTCTCGATGTATTTGCAGGTAACAGCTTCATGACTTGGTGTTTGGGCATGGAATAGATAGTAAACATAAAAATTATTTCACTTCTCAATATCATGTGATGATAATGAAGCCAAAACCTTAGTATTAGTATTAGCTTCTCAACTTATTGGAAAAAAAATTAGGTTGTTTATGTTCAGAAAAATTTCAAGCGGGAGTTTACCAAACTAAACTACAAATATTTTTGGAAGATTAGAAGTCAATGGGATTATATTCTGAACGAAATCCATAATATTTTTGGGCCCATGATAATGATGTTCACTAACTTTTGTTTTCCTTTCCTATTATAATTATTCATTTCTATGATGGTAGATGGGTTTTTTATTTTGGATGAAATAAGAATGTGAGGTGTAGGCAAATGACATACATGTAATTTTGGATGACATTCTGGCACAGCAAATATCATTCTATTACCTGTGATTGGTGTCAACAAAATCCAGCTTTGCTTCAATGCCATGGTGGGTGCAAAAAGGACTTTGTATTTGACAGAAAATGCTTGATGCTGTCTGGAGGAGCTTGGAACAGCAAAAATGAGTAGCAGTAGCAGGTAGTTTCTATGTGATTCAATTGAAAGTAATTACAGGAATAGCAGTTCAAAAAAAAAAAAAAAAAAAAAAACAAAAAAAAAACTAATGACTTATGCCATTACTATCACTTCCAAATCTGATCTACTTAACATTCTATTCAAGTCCACAACTCAGAACTAGATGCAGAGGACCAAGGGGGTATAGGTACAGGCTTGTACATTTATGTATCATGGACCAGTAGGGATTGGTGCCATTTGCTATATTTTCCTTGTGGTAATAGTAATAGTGTAATAGTAAGAGGATCAAGTCATATACATCAATGATTGTGAAGATGGAAATTGGAGATTGGATATTGATGCAGAACTGTGGGATGACATTTGGCTGAACAGATTACAAAAATGACCTTACCATTCCCATGCTTATGCTAACAACAACAAAGGCTCATAAAGAAAATCAGGTAAGATATACTGATGAAACATCCTTCTAATTGTTTCAGAACACAGTTAAACAATGACATAAAGGTGAAGGGCCAATACACCCAATGCCACATAAAACTATGGCATGGGATGGTCTGTGCAAAGAAAAGATCATAGACCAGTCTTTTGCTTCAGCCATATTATAGATGCAAATTTCTAATTTCTATGTTGTAATATTATAATTAGAGCAATGCCTTCCAGAAATAAGAGGGTGTTGTAGTTGGGAGGCAGATTTCCAAATACAATGTGCAGGAACTAATACTAATACTAACTGCAGTACAAACATTCTTAATTGCAGAAGGTTAGCCCAAGCCAGTCCAAGATCATCAGACACAGAGATGTTTTATGTGATCAAGAATATTACTCTCAATATTAATATTGCATCTCAATAAGATTTAACCCCATCATACAGAATGCAATCTTTCCTTCAATCATTATATCATGGTTGGTTTAGAGTAAAGTAATTTTACAAAAAGGAAAGAAATTAAAGGTTTACTGAATGTATTGAAATGAATCAGTGATGTCAATATGTAAATTAAGTCAGTGAAATTGATACTTGATTTTATAATCTGCAAGTCACAATTCAAATACAATGACGTTTTACCAGACATTCTTTATACTTCTTGACTGTGTCTTATCATTTGTTTCAATAGCTTATATTTATCAATCCAATTACTATTCAAATTTCTCTCTTACCAACGTTACTTGTTCATCAGTTGAAAAAAGTGCTAACAGTTCTTAATACTTATCAATGAAAAACGCAGTATTTAACAATTCAAATTATTCACAAGTTTATTAAAAGTATGTATAGATCATTTACAATGTTCATGTTTGTTTAAAAGATTATTTCACATTGATGCCCTTCTTTATCTGTGCCATACGGCTTCTCAGATTCTTATATGGGTCAGGTCCTTTCTTCCTAGTGGGTACGCCTTGCGCGGATGCAAAAGAGACACTCCCACAGACACCATTTGTGGATGACATTTCTCCGTCCTTTGGTTGATAGTATACAATCTTCTTGTCCCTGTAATTGAGACTCTTGCCAAATATCGGTGCGCTCCATTTAGCAACCAGCTTGGCCGCTCGCTTAGTTATATCCACATCATTGCGAGGATGCTCTTCATAAAAGTGTACTATTTTGCCAATTCCCGATTGACGTAAAAGATCAATCGTCATGGGAACCTATATAATCAATGGGAGCGTATAAGCGGAACGATCATTTCAACGGGCGGTGCGGTGACGGTGGAATACCCCCTCCCCCCTCCCCTCCCCTCCCCGCATTAACTCTCTTACCTTTTCAAGAACTTCGAATAGACTCCTCTGAACAGCGATATTGGGAAGAGACGCATCAGGCAAGGGTTCTAGCCATGCTCTTATCGATTCCAGTATGTTATGCTCTAGTAACGTATCGAGCATATTCGCCTTCTTTAGGGTCCACGTTACGTGCTCCATAAACTCGAGCTTCTTGACCGCCGGTTTTCGTTGATTGTTCAGCGAGATGTCAAGATCGGCCGCAGATATCATTAGAGTATACAATTGGTGAGCTTCTTCGTCTCGATTAGTCTCCAGATCCTAGAGGCACAACGATTGATATTTCAGTTTTTGAAAGAGAAGTATATCACCCCCCGATGTATGAAATTGAATTAAAAGTACTTACAACGTCTTTGCGTTTCCTACGTCTACCTGAAGCTGCCCTTAGTGCGTCGTCAAAGTCTTTGTCCACGCGTCGTCTGATTTCTTTAGTTTCGATGATAGGTATTGTATAGTCAACGTCGGTTCAAATTACGGAAAGTCAAGTAAACATTAATGTGAAAACAAATCTACCGTCATATGAAGATAGCTTCTGATCATTCTGTACATCCGTCAGAACGTCATTATCTTCAACCACTTCGCCGTTCTTTCGACGACGCCTCCTTGACTTTACAGGTCGTCGTTCCGACTTGTCGACATAATCCTTATCCTTGTCTTCTTCAGAAAGCCTTTTGGCTTTTGACCACTTCAGCCTTAACTTTTTGGGCGGTTCATTTGGCGGCGTCGCCGGTTTGAGAGTGATTTTTGGAGGTTGTGAGATGATGTTTTCAATGTCTGTTTAGAGAGACGCTCGCACATCAGATTATTATAATAGGAGATATGAACGAAAGTGTGATAACTAGTAACTCACCCTCATCGCTAAAATGAACTTCACCCAGATCAGACAAGTCATCATCATCGCTTGCACCGAACACTTGTTTGTGAAGTTCGGATTGCTCTAATTCCATCATCGTGTTAGGTTATGTGACGCGTTAAGTGTTTTCGTTTTTAAATCAAGGATGTGGCGAATATGATCGTGTCTGTGTGCCAGTCGCACAAGATAAATCCAATCTTGAGCCAATTATATCGGCATTTGCATTCATTGGACCGTGTGATCTGCACATAAATTTAAAAAGATTTGTTATTGGATGAGATCACGTTTACATGATTGAGAAATAACTCTGTCGATCAAGAACGTGTTAGTCCATTGCAAGCAGTACAAATAACTATTCGAATGAAACGATGTGTGTAGAGTCCCATTTGGATAAATGGTCAAATAACGAACGATTTCCGTTGCTTGTGATGGTTATTTCACTTGACACATCGATTCAAACAAAGCAATTCTTTAACAACGTTTGTCTAGGGTTTTTTTACACACCCCGTCCGTCATTTGTATTAATATGCACATTGTAGGATTGACCAAGTAACCTTCAATAACTTGGACCAGTTGATTACACTACATACATCGTTAGTTCTCTGAACACTGTAAGTAAGGAGCTTGTTTTGCAAGAGTTTTTTTCCAGCAAATTGCAAATAGACTCTTTATGAGTATGATTCCAAGAGTGTTATTTAAATAATAAAACGTCACTGAACCATAATAGCAAACGGTTTGTCGCTTCTCGCTTTTGTTTAATAATATTGCGTGAAAAAGAGCACCTACCGCGGGCATGTTCCTTCACATACATAATATCCCAACCTAATACTAAGTTAATTCAGCTCAGACCGTCATCTCTCATTTTAACATTAACACGTTAAGAAAACAAGCATAATAAAGCAACAAAATGTAACATGTTAATCAAGGCAGTAAAGACTTTACTAAAAGGATGTTTGTTTTAGTAAATAGACTTGTACCAAGTCAGGCTGATTCAGACAACATGACATGCATCACGTATATATAGTCTCTTAATGGAACACAAACCTAAGCTGATACCACAGAAAACCAACAAACTCTTAAAGCGTCTTTCAAAACACTCGCAGTAATCGCAATTCTCGAAATATCAATAGATATTCTCACCATCGTACAAGACAAGTAGTCCATCTGCATACTTATGACATTGTCAGCTTGGAAACTATGTAGTCGCGTTGACTTGTGTTACAAAATGATTTTGGTTACACAATATTAAATATAATACAGTAATATAAAACTCTAGACTGACTTCTTTACGCCTATATTAAATATCATTTCTCATAACAATAAAAAAAAATCACCCACATGGTATAGTATCAGTTCTGTTCCATTAGTAACTATTTCGCTTTGGTGGCCTCCCACCCTAGCTCCCGAGAGATTCTCTACGATCCGTGCATTCTCGAGTTTTTTCACTAACAGATCAAAAATGTCGTTACCCGACCAATCACTCTAGATAAGGTTTATTCTAGTCCAGAACAGACAGGGTAAAACTCGCCTTTCAAAATGGTATGTGCCCTACGAAGACGAGGAAAAGATAAAGTTAAAAGGTGAAGTGCATCGCCTAGTTGCGCCGAGAGATCAGAAGCATCAGTCAAACTTTGTCGAGGTGAGGAGTAGTGACCGAGTGTTTTTTGGTGATTGGCGAGAGGGATGGACCGCTGTTGCCGTCAAGGAGAATAAGAACGAATCATTGAGTTGTGTGTTTTGTAATGTGATAACAGTAGTAACACCCTGTCGTCGTTCTTGGATCTAGTTTCGTAACCACAAAATAGTATATCGTCGGTACGCCGGTCTGTTCTTTTGCGTGTGCGTCGATGCAAACGATAACGAATTGGCGTATCTGGAAGCCATACATTTCTTTGTCGAAGTGCTCGATGCATTCTTTGGAAACGTGTGTGAATTGGATTTGGTTTTTAATTTTTACAAGGTGATTAAGAATATGTTAATGTTCAATACCGAGAGAATGTTGTGTTTATTATTGCAACACGCCCGCTTTATTGATATCGTATTCGTCTCTTATAGGTGTATGCTATTTTAGATGAAGTATTCTTGGCGGGTGAGATTGAAGAGACGAGTAAGAATCTCGTCTTGACAAGGTTGGATCATCTGGACAAGCTAGAATAGAATATTTATAATAGAGAGTGGCTTAGCTAATTTATTAAAAGGCAAAAAAAAAAGGAACTATTTTTTAATCATGGGTAAAAGATTAATTGTTATATATAACTGATCAGATGCGTAGAGTAAAGTCTAACTTAATACGAGATTAGGATTTGTCTATTTTATGGTCGATCAAGTTTATTAACATTTTGGGTCCGGAAAAAGCACTTGACAAATTACAAGATTTGTGAGGAAAACTCTGGTTTAAGATTCATTGCGCGTGCATACATCTTCTCATAGCTCAGGGACGGCAGCGGGGTACTCTACGTTCTTAACTTTGGAACACGGATGATAAGGATAGAGTTTTTATTTCATACAAAATCGCAAAAACGGAAAACCAATGATTTGTTGTCCGCCAAGCCAAGGCCGCTATGCCCAATTTGGAGCATGCATTTTTCTTTTTTAATTTTTCGTTTGAAAGTTCTCTCCCGCAGGGGGAAATTACACGATATTAAATAGCAGGAGGTGGGTAATGAGAAAACAGTTATCCGCTCTTGTAAACTCGCGCAAGTTTAGCTTCAAGTATTGATTACTTGTTACATACTACGCAGCAACTGTTATCGAAATATCCTTATTCCTCCTCCACTTTTACGTCTGTCTTTTTCTTCTTTTTCTTCTCACTCTTACTGGTATCATCATCAGCCTCAGACTTTTTCTTTTTCTCCCTTTTCTCCCTTCTCTCTTTCTTGTCCTTTTCTCTCTTTTCCTTTTTCTCCTTTCTCTCCTTTCTACGTTCCTTCTTTTTCTTCTCCTCTTCCTCATCATCATCACCCTTCTCCTCATCCTCCTTTTCTTCAACTTCTGCCACAGACGACTTCTCCTTTTTAACCCGTTTAGCGGCTCTCTTGGATGATTCCGCTTCTTCAGATACTGACGGTTCTGACGGTTCGGTTCGCTGAATTCGCCCCCAAAAAAACATAGATTAGATACTCATTGTTATATTATCATTATAATTTCAATATCATTCTTCGCACCCCAGTCATTACCTTCATAGGAGTGACGTTTTCAATGTTCATCTCCTTGACTCCATGAGACACCTCCTTTACATGCGCTTCTAAACTTGTAGCTACAACACCCTCCATTGTAGTATTTGCAGAAGACGATTGGTCTGTGCGTTGATAGTCAACGTAACTTTCTTTCCACTGTGAAGGCGTTTTATCAGTAACACGGCCGTACTTGTCTAATCGACCCTCCTTGATAAGTTGCTTCTTTTGTTGAGCTTTCGGACCCAAACCCCAGCGACGAGGATAAGTGTCTCGTTCCATAATTACACGTTTTATTTTTGCAACTACGCCTGTTATAAAATAGATATTGATAAGAACGTGCTTTAAACGCGGGTGATTTCGCCCTACAAATCTTTCACTATGCTTACCGTGATCACAAGTGGCCATAACAGCTGTGGTCATCAGCGCAATTCCTAACGCTATTGCTTCACCTTTCGTAGTCATCAATACAACTTCTTCATTGAGTTCAATCCCAGACTCGTATCTGAGTAATCCCGGTATCATGAGTTTAGCCCCATAACATATTGCATTTACTGCACTATCTTTCACTACAATTCGCTTATACGTTGTTAATAAAGTCTCTAGAGGTCGTATGGCTCTGCGAAGATAGGATTCTGGTCGGGAAAGACAAGAAAAAGTTTGATGAGATATATATGAACGTGTGCACGTAATATGGGTGTCTGAAACACATAGTTTGGAATATGACCTAAATCACATGCGAATTCACTCACCATCGCGTGTATGATCATATAACCATTGTGCATCCAAAACGTCATGCATTGTCACCAAGTGCTCCTACAAAGAAGTAACAAAATATCCAGACATGTTAGAACAAGTCTAAAATATAGCCTTTCAATTCACCGCCCCTCTTTCCCCCTTTTTCGTCAATTACCTCTTCACTCATAGATCCACTTCTCACTCTCCTCAATTCCTCCATATGTCCACCAACACCCAACAACAACCCCAAATGCACACATAATGTACGGATGTACGTTCCAGCTTCACAAAAGACCCAGAAAACGCCGAGATTACGATCAGGGTCAAATTCTATGAGCTTTGCTTCATGGATTGTACGGATACGCAGTTGTCGTTTCACGGCGGAAATCAGTGGAGGCCGTTGAAAAAGCGCACCGGTCAGGGTTTCGAGAGTTTGTGAAAGTTTTTTTGCAGATTCAATCGCGTTATGTAATCTGACAACACAGACATATTCTTTGCCTAGAGAGAAAACATGATTAGAAGAATCGATCTTGGTGATACAACCAAAGCTTCAAAAGTAGAATCACGTTCCGATTCCAAGTAAATAGAAAAAAAACAGCTTGAAACTCTTCACTCGATCTTACCTGCTCCTTGTTGTGATTTGACCAGTCTCGTGGCACGATCAATGCATACTATCAAACAACCAGTAACCTTTGGATCGAGTGTGCCACTATGTCCAGTCTTTTCTACTCGAAGAATTCTGCGTATCCATGCGACTACTTCGTGTGATGATGGGTTTGCTGGTTTATCAAGATTTATTATTCCATATCTGTCAGAACACGAAAAGAAAACGCCGCAACGATTAAAAATGGTATACATAATCGACTCCCCCCTATATTACAAAAATCAAATCGAATCGTATACCTTATATATTCATTTAAATTTCGCTTCAGTGGCGAGCATCCTTGAGGAATAGGCGTATAATGTGCCGTTCTCACGTTCAATCTATCAAAGTTCTAAACAGAAATTACATAATACGCGTTAACGCTAAAGAGCAAGTAAAAAGTTCCACGTTTCACGACGGACGTTGTATGCTATAGGCGTAGTCGTATACCAAAGACTCGACCAATCGCTAGCGAGAGATTCGAACAATTTGCGAAGGCATAGTAACCACGTAAAGGTTCGTCCCTAGTATTAGTAGTCGTGTCTTTTACCTTTAGTAATAAAGGCCACTCTGATGTATCAAGTGACGGTGCCTTTGATTCCGGTTTAATAAAGTAATCGACATTTGGAATTGGTTGTCCTGCCTGTGTCATTTTGTAGAGGATTCAGTATGTCAAAAAGCGATCATGTAAATTTTTATAATATTCACGAAATTTTTTTTAGATCCAAAAAAATTAGCGTTACACACAAAATTGAGCGACAAAAAGTTTTGCCCCGTGACTGGGAAAATTTGCTCTCTTACATTTGTGTAGCCATGCATATTTGGGGGACGTTAGAGTTATTCTCTTGTATGGTCTCGAATAAAATGTGAAATGTCGCAATTGCCCCGCCATACAGTTTCGCACCCGATGACGTCTAGTAGGTCATCATAAATGACGCATACGCATACCATCTTTCAAAGCCCTGATGAACAGGATTACGGGATAGACCAATTAATTCGTTTGAGATCGGACGACCAATCACATTCACCCAACCGATATGATTTACAAAATATCAATTTTTAATATCCGATCCAGATGAACATTTTCTCTACGAAACATGTCAGAAACATCGACCACCACCAAATCCGCTTGTCCTATAGATCATCGTTCTCGTTCTGGGTTTCTTTCATCATTCTCTCGACAAGACACTCTGTCCGATTCAAATTCCAATGCTCAAGGCTGTACGAGCGATGCTGTCGACAAATCCTCTCCACAAACACCCACCTCCTCCCAGCAAACACCACTAGACAATCAACGTGTAGTCTCTTCTATTCCTCGATCCTCTCAAACGCCGTCCGATTATTGGGTTTATCCTTCAGAACAACAATTCTTCAATGCTTTAAAACGTAAAAACCACGATCCTAATGAAGCGGATATGCGACCGGTAGTACATATACATAATGCAGTCAACGAACGGGCCTGGGGCGAGATTTTAAAATGGGAGAGGTTGCATGAAGGCTCAAGCAAATGTCCGGTGAAATTGAAGAGTTTTCGGGGAAGGCCTGGAGATTTGAGTTTCAAGGCGCGAATGTATGGATTACTAGGGTGAGTTTTTTGTAAACCGTTTTGTTTCGTCAGGATTAACAATCAAACATGTAAGCGGGGAGAATATTCTAAATATCTTGCTCGCTTATTCCCGCAGATATACATATCCCTTTGATAGACACGATTGGGTAATCGACAGGTGTGGTAAAGAAGTCCGTTATATAATCGATTTCTATTCCGGAAAACCAGATTCCAAAAATCCGCATTCAGTTAGCTTTTACATTGATGCGAGGCCAGCATTAACGTTAGAAGGTGTAGTTGATCGAATACGAATGACTTTTGCTTCATGGAATTAGAATAATTTTAGATTGGTGGACACTGGCAAGGCTGGACGGTGAGTTGCACGGGGGATCATGTGTGCAGCGAGGAAGTTTCGATATTACATCGTTAGGATGTATAATAATTTTTTTGTTAGTACTTCAATGAAGAACCTGGGTATTTGTATTATTGATTGACGACCCTTTTTACCAGATCTTATATTTGCGAAAGTTTCAACGTTGACATTATTGGTTGTTCAACGTATGATTAGTACGAACAGTTCAATACAAGGCCACTTCAATTAAACTAAAATGATTTCAACAATCCCAGCTGCCACTCTTCTACCACGGCGGATAGTTATGATGTAACATCATGTGTGTTAGATGTAAAAGTTACATGATTCGTTGCGTTCAATATTAAGCAAAAGGATATTCTTAAGGTATGTATAAATTTATTTAAAAAACCTTAGCGAAGGAATGTGGAATTTGTGGCAATATCCAAAAGCAAACTAGCAAACTTGCTAGTTAGTATATAACGAAAAGTATCGTTAAAACTATTACAGTACTACCATTAAATTCCAATCTAGTCACAAAGCGGCATATTGCGTTTTAAAACCATTATCCAATACCCAATAAAAGCAATTACAGTGAAAGGTTGAGCAAGTTAATCTTGCCTTATTGGCCGGACATTGGAATGTCGGGAAGCGTGCATCATCCGGTGCTGAAATTGACAATTAATAGAAAGCAGCGAACAGAGCTTGAATGTAACTATGCATTTATTCAGAGTTAGCAGTATCATAAACCTTTAAATATGCACTCTATTTATTCAACGATCTATCACAGCAAAAAACAGCTAACAGCAAATGTGTACGGTTTTATTTCGGTATCTTTAACTCATTCTATGTTGACATACATGGGAGGTCGTATTGCGGAGAAGTAGTAAACCATTGAATAAACTCGTAAATTGAAAATAGCCGTGCATTACAACTTTATTCGAAGAACGTTTGCGTCACTAGTTTATAAGACAATAGGTAATGTTAACATTTTGCTTACGCGAACGCGAACCAATTCCTGTCATCATACCTGCAGCTGAATCCAATTCATAACTATTTCTTGGTTTAGGCAGATCTCCAGTAGGTAAGAGTTTACTAGAGTATTTACTCTCCTTCTCGAGACGTGATAACGGCTTTACATTATTATGATAAACGACGTTCCATACGTTGTCATCCGATTTATCCTTTTCCGCATCTTTAATAATATCGCACATTTCCCAGAAAAGTATCTCTGCATCAGGACGCTTATCAGGATCAGCATCACAACACCGCTCGGCAAGTTTCTTGTATTTCTCTGGCGCAGAATCAG